AAAAAAAAAAAAAAAAGTTTCAACAATGGCTGGCACAGGAACAGAGGGTGCAACCCAACAGTACTCAGAAAAGGGCCCCTGGGCTCTCTGTGAGAAGACTGAGCCACAATGCAGCCATGGCTCAGTGTGGCTCTTCATAGAAGAGAGACCTTTCTCCATCAACTGAGTTCTGAAGGTGCAGGGGCTGGAATATATCTCCAAGCCTGCATCACAGAGCATGGGAGAGTCACAAAGGTGTTCTTGGATGGGGAAGGGCAACCTGAGGAAGTCTGGACGCCCCCTCTCCTACCTACCAGCCAGGTGGATCCCTATGCCCAAACCCTTTGTTCCATTCTCCGGTCCACCACTTTCTCAAATCTTGTGTTCACCTCCAAGAGTGGCTCTCTTTACTCTGTGACTTGGATATTACCCATGTCCTCCTAAACATTGAGCCTTTGACTTCACCCAACTAATTCTGCACCCTGCAAAGTCTTACATGCAGCCTGGCACATTTGTCTATACCTTTATATTTTACTCTCAGGGCCAGAAATCCATTGCATCTCAGAACACTTTTGCCTTACACTAAGTCAGAATATAAAACATTTAGTTTTGTGAATGTTAAATGTTTGTTAGTCGGCTCTACTGTCTTCAGAGGGATTAATTTCACCACTTTAATCATTATTCAACTTTTATAATATAAAAATAAGGGTAAAATAAATGTATATAAAAGTAAACTTCATCCAGACATGATAGTATACACCTGTAATCCCAGAATTATAAGGGGTTAAAGCATGAGGAGCACAAGTACTAGTACAACCTGGGAAAGGTAGAGATTTAGCAAGACGCTGTCTCAAAAATTTTTTGCAAATAGGAAAGAGATAAAGCTCTGTGAAAAAGCCCTTGGTCATGACTATTACCACGGGAGGGTGGGGAGACAGACAGAGAGAGAGAGAGAGAGAGAGAGAGAGAGAGAGGGAGAGAGGGAGACAGAAAGATACTTTCACTTTGGCTATTCAGGAATTTTTGCAGTTCCATAAAATATTTAAAAATTGTTTTTTCCTGGTTCTGTGAAGAAAAACATTGGTATTTTTATGAGGATTGCATTTAATATGTAGATCACTTTTGTTATTATGGACATTTGTATAGTATATATTTTCCTATGCCATGAAGAATATTTGCATATTCTTTCAAATTTTTTGTATCCTCTATGATTCCATTCATATGATTTTGTAGTTTTTAGCTCAGATATCTTTCACCACTTTGGCTAAATTTGTTCCTAGGTATTTTACTTTGATTTGATTGGATTGTAGCTAGGGTAAATGTAGAACATTTGACTAACGTGTGAGACTCTGGGTTCAATCTCCAGCATGCCTGGGAGCAGTATGTAAATGAAGCTGTAGTGTACATTGATGTCATCA